CCCTCCCTCCCCCTCCCTCCCCCTCCCTCCCCTCCACCCTTTTTCTTTCCAAAACATAATAAAATGAAAAATGAATAGATCATTTAATAAATAAATTAGACAATTACATGTAAACAGTAAAACACACTCTAAAACGTGATTTGTAAAAAGTCTATAAATTGAAGAACGAGTTAATAAATAGACCCGATGATCTTCTTTAGGTACATGCTATTTTGTCCAGCGTTTCCAACATTTTCCAACCCTTGCTGCGTTGCATAACGCTAGATATAAGTACATGTGCAGCTCCTCTCTACTGGATGGATCGATTGGTTGTAAACGAGGTAACGCCTCTACTGACGCACGTCAGATTATTAATCTTGCGATCTATCTGTCACGGCCGACCAGGGTTATGTGAGGTACTACATCCCTGCAGCAACACGGAAATACTCCTTAATATTATCTCCCCCAAGCGATAATCGAACTCACGTCTTTTGCCTTCAAGGCTTAGAGCCTATTTCACAGATCATTACTCCTCTCCAATTGAAGTGCGATAAATATGACACATCGATGAGACAGCTTCTGAAGATGCGTTCGTCGGGAATGGATTCTGTCAATATCTTTGCATTTTTCAACCAGTAAGGCAAAATAATTAAATGAGTAGAAGCTGCATATGCACGACAAGAGCAAACATGTCTGTCTCACTCTATAAGAGAGAAAGAAAAGGGACATTCAAAAAAACACCAACTGGTAATGTTTCTAGTTTGTGGAAACAGTACAAGAAAGAAGAAATAAACCTATGGTTTTCGGTTCATTGCGGGACAATAATAAAGAGAAACGTTTTCACGTTATTCCCTTTATTCTCCTCCCTGCCAACTCCGATAAACATTGGCAGCTCAGAAAGCCCACATGATTCCATTACCCCATTCCTGTTTGTGCTTGAGTGTGGCTGACCTCAAATCATACCGTTGTGACCCGGTCCATATGTGATGCTCTTGTATTACGCATACCCACAGAAACAGGAGACGGTCAAAAGGTCCGATGTGAGTCAACCTATTTTTAGTTTCAGTAAAAGTTGTAAGGTCGTATACGTGCTGAAGATTTAAGGTATTACTCGAGGGTAAAAAGTAAAGAAAAGAAGGAGAGATAAGAACGATAGCTGCTTGATAGGAAAGAAGGAGCAAACCACACTAGAGCACCTACAAACCACCCACTGATTTCACTCAAAATATTGCTTCTTTCGCAACATTGATTCTTTGGAGTTTCAAAAAGAAATAGTTATCCCCTGACTTTGTGTCGATACTGGATACCTCCTCTCTTCAAAGCCAATAGCTGCTGGATAAAAATCGGTATAATATAAATGATGTGCATGCAAGTTGCCAACTAATCGCTACCTCAGAATTACGGAGTTCTGCATGCTCAATGCCTAGTTTTGAGAAATGTGATGTTAAATATTTCAAGTTTCACATCATGTCAAGCTTTGACAATGACTTCGAATAATCTTTCGATTTTGGTAGAGCAGATAGAGCATTTGGTTTCTGTCCTCATGGTCTTAGTAACGCAAAACAGTCAAAAAGGTCAGAGAGAACTATTTAGTTTTGAGGTAGCGTGATGTCAGCATCACAACATCGTGAGCCGTGCCCCAACCCTACGTAGTAAATAAAATGTATATATATATATATATATGAGTGTGTGTGTGTGTGTGTGTGTGTGTGTGTGTGTGTGTGTGTGTGTGTGTGTGTGTGTGTGTGTGTGTGTGATATGTATGAATATTATACGTCAAGTAGTCAAGAGCAACACACGTAAACCTAAGCTCAATAACATGGCGGTGCACAGGGGCGACCAGCAATGTCACGTCGCTAACCTGTGTTTATAATAATATTGTGTAATAATTCGTTCATATTAAGTAGTAATGTATGTGTTTATTTATGTACCCCATGTTAAAACAAATTCTGAAGGGGCTCAATTTTGTGAAATCTATTTTCTGTATTATTCTTTTTTAAATAGTGTAGATGAAAAGTAAAGGGGGAAATATGGCACTAGTCACGATATTCCATTCTTGCCTTTGTTTGGAGAATTTGTCTGGTTTGTACCATTTTCTTGATCAGTACCATTATTATCAATTAATGTGGCTGTAGTCACGTGCTATAGATATATCTAAACCAGTTCTAGATGCCACTAGATGGAAAGAACTCTATTATAGTGGTATATAATTATTTCTGTATGAACACACGCAAGAAAGGACAAAACGTCCTTAGTATTTTTCCGGATGCTAATTCCATTTCCCTTCGAGGTCTTCAGATATAGTAATATTCAAGAAACGTGACAGTAAAACTGTTGTCAATTAGTAGCAAATGTAGTGGCGTTCGAAAGCAGTAGATGATGGACTAAGCGCTAAGCTCTTCACTCTATGTTGTCGTGCTAAGGGTACATGGGCAGTCTGTAGAGAGTATGTCTACAATAAGCATCAAGCTGAAGGTTTTTGTTGTTGTAAGTAGTTGATGTTGTTGTTATTGTAGTTGGTGCAGTAGTAGTAGCAGTAGTAGTAGTTGTTGTTGTTGTTGTTTTAGTTGCTGTTGTTGTTGTTTTTGTTGTTGTTGTTGTTGTGGTTGTTGTTGTGTGCGTGTGTATGTGTGTGTGTGTGTGTGAGTGTGTGTGTGTGTGTGTGTGTGTGTGTGTGTGTGTGTGTGTGTGTGTGTGTGTGTGCGTGTGTGTGTCTGAAAGCCTATCCTTCGCCAGGGTCACCGCCTCTCTTGTTGTTGTTGTTGTTGTTGTTGTTGTTGTTGTTGTTGTTGTTGTTGTTGTCGTTGTTGCTGTTGTTGCTTTTTATGATTCTGATATTGTTGTTTTGTCTCAGGGGTACCTGGATGTGGTAACTTGCTAACCTGTTCTGTCCCTTGGGTATAGAAAACTGTATTCGAGCAGGGCCAGAATTTTACTTTTCGTTCTTCCTCAAGTCTTCCTCTTTCTGCCCAATGCCCTGACGATCCAACGCCTCATGTTCTACATAGCAGTTTTTGTGACAGACAAAAATATTCCATAAAAAGCAAAAGCAACAGCAGCAAAACCTTCAGATTTGGATACAAATTTTCATTTTACAACGGTTATTAAATCTTCAGTTATTCTCAACAATCTGACCGCCTTTTCACTATCATAAGACACAAACGACTCAATGATATATGGCAACTGGTACGCAACAACCATTTTGTTGTAGGTACGGAATCTTTTGTCAGTATTTACTGTTTATTTTTCTTCCATTCCCGTCAGCTCGCGGGAAAATAGGAACGAACTAAAAGCTGGATCCATGAAACCGTGTTGTGTTAAGTCTGTTTTCGAAACGGGTTAAATGTGTCCAGAGAGGCATTTTATCAATATACCACAACACCTTCAGCCCTTCGTGCTCTGTGACCTGGCTTTGTGACGAACTGTGTGGCCGTCACTTCCTGGGAGAAGTGAGGATGAATATTGTGCAATCTGAGGACTCAGAGCCAGTTGTCCCCTGAGAGCGATCGACCCGCGACATATTTGCCCGAAGGCTGGGCCCTGAATAAAACTCCATGAATGTTTTATCCCGTGGTGGAGCTGTTGTGAAAGACGTTTTGCGTATTCATACACTACAGAAGTCTGTCCACCAGACACTCACTGCACTTTAGTTGACAAAAAAAAACCTTTACAGTCTACACACCGCTAATTGTCGCAAAGTTCCTTTAAAATGTAGAACCCAATTTTACTTTCTCCTAGCCAACTGGATAAATGAGATGTAACATTACACAGACACCTCGAAGACTTTTCCAAAGAGCTTGATTTTATATTCCCAATTGTGTGGTCTCGATTCCTTGAGAGATACAAAGTATTTCTCATCCTCAAAAAAATGAATTATGATACCGACCTCAAAAAGAGAGTCAAAAGAAGACTTGCAAAAACAAATTTGCAGTTTAGGCCAATTCTAGATAACATTAATAATCTCTACTCCAAAAATATTTTCAAGGAAAGGTCTGTGGGTATTTGCCCATAGACAAAAAGGCTAGAATATAATGTTCAGGTTATGAAGACAAAGTATGAAATAAAAAAGAAGCGTTTTAACAGTGATATCGCTATAAAGGTTCGTAAAAATCTATACTATATAAAAGACTTATTTTTACTTCCTTTATGTTCTTACTCGTAGTTTTGAAAGGTGACAATGAAACCCAAATCAGCTTTGACCTTTGTTACCCTTTAACGTGTATTTTACTTTTATTTAATTAAAAATGGGCGTTGTACCGTAAATATAGCAGACGGACAGTCTGGAGATATTTGAGATGCAGTTTTGATCAAGTTGTCACAGTCTGTTAAAATTAATCTTACTCCATTTGCTTTGACGCCTTCTGCGTCGAGCGCAGTTTAATCGGAGATACATTTTATTTTATAATAAGAAGAAAAGCTTGATATTATTTGTATTTTGGGGGGTACCCCCCCCCCCCCCCCCCCGCATTTTTTCTAAACTAAGGAACTGTGGGGATATTGGAACAGCAACCGAAAAAATGTTACGCTGTAAAGCTTTGTCCTGAAGTAATTTGAACGCTCGTCTCCCAATGAAACAATAATGATATTTGAACACAAACAATATTAACAATTTTAATTCGTAGTAATACCTGTCTCAACTCTAACATAAATAGACCCTCACCACTACCACATAATTTTAAAAGGAAAGAAATATCTCCTTTCCTCTGTGCAACTCAAATAGTCTCCTTGCATTTAGGAAGAAGAAAACAACAAAACGAATTGTTTCGTCGTGCGTATTGATGTAATATTGACACTGTGGTTGCACCAAAATGGCAGCTAGCCGGGCTAGAATGCCAACAGAGCATTATCTGCATCTTTTTTAAAGAAAAGAGGGTAATGTTTTTGTTCTCGTGGAGCTCTTGCACTCTTAGAGCAACAGCTCTCTCTCTCTCTCTCTCTCTCTCTCTCTCTCTCTCTCTCTCTCTCTCTCTCTCAGTCTCTCTTAACGGATTATGGCATACCATCATTAGAGTTTTTGTGCACTGCTTGTGGCTTGGCGGATGCTAGAACCTTATCAAGAGCTAGATGGACTCACGACTTTCTCTAAAGGGAGAATTATGGTTATGTAGAAAGAAACAAATAGTAAAATTCAAACTTTATGCTACAAAGCTTATCCATCGTGGGAAACTTGCACAAGCCTGGGAATAGGTGATAGTAAATTGATTCTAAATAGACAATGGGAACAGAATTAATCAGGTTGAGAAACACCCTGTGATGGTTAAAGTGACAACGCTTATTTTCTCCGCTCCTGACAGCGAAACAAATATCACCAAATCGCCCTCATTTCCATGGTATTTACTCATGTATTCGCATGGGGATTAACAACAGGCGTTTTAAGTGCACAGACCTTTCAGGTAGTTCAATTGATGTTTCACGAGGATTTGCTTTTTAATCCTTGTGCATACAGATGTCGGGATAATCACTGACAATATTTATAGCAATGCGAATTTGCAGAAAAACTTTCCACTCTTTGTGAATTACCAACTCAACATTAATATTACTTAATTTAAGCAATGTTTCCTTTTATTTTGAATTTCTATCGACTATATTACTGGCATTGTAAATGTGGCTAAATATGCTTTTTTATTGCTTTTCTTCCGCAGACGCAGACCAGCTTGAAAGTGCCGGCGGCTCTTGGGTGAGCCCCTCAGGATGTGCCGTGTGGCTATTTCTGCAACAATAAGATGAACAACTTTGAGTGTTTGTTAGGTCCACAGCAACATTGTACCATAGCAGTGGAGATGGTAACCCAGACAGTATGCAGTTTGTTTTCCTTCTGACCCCAGAAATTTGGATTACTCTCTGGTATAGGAAATCTTCATTCATTTTATCTGTGGGAATTGATAAATTGTAGGTGAGAAAATACTAACGGACTTCGTAAGATTTTCTCGACATGGAGGAGACTTTCTCCATCAGCGAGTGGAACACCACGTACAACATATCGTGCTGCCCTGATGCTCAAACAAGTCTGCCATGCAGCTGCAGTAGCAACACCAACGGTAGCGACAACAGCACGTACCCTGGGAGTGGGCCTATGCCGAAGGTGATGGGCCCCCAGTTGTACCAGTACATCTACATCACCGTGATCAACGCCATCGTCTTCATTGTGGGCATCGTGGGCAACTCGCTGGTGATCCAGGTCTGGATATCTTTATCAGACCCAATGCGTCATGTAATGCCATCATTTTACCATCGAGTATGTCGTGCTTCTGTTCTTGCTTAGAGCGCACATCTTGGTGGAAACCCTCAGGACACTTGTTTGCACTATGTGTTTTGCTCTCTTCAAAGTCACCACGACCTGTATAATCTGTTGCCATTTTAATTATTTCCAAATCTGTTGCATCAGAAATCAAGTAGCTCATAAAATTTTGTTATGTGTGGTAGGGATGTTTCCCTTTCTCATTTCCAGCGGAAGTTGTATTAATTTCACAATGCAAATCCTAAATAACCTTCCTCTCTAACTTTAAAAAGTTGCTTTCGATTACTGGATCTAAAATGTGTGTGTGGTGAAAGTTTTCCTCTAACTAGACTTAAACTAACACATAACGTTTCTTTACGATTCTTCACCCACGCTATACAGCACTTTACTCAGTCTCTGCACTGATGGTTATTGTTTGTAAGCATGTCGTTTACTTCACACCATATTTTTCCAATACATCTGAGTTAGATGATCTTTTCAAAGGTAGATTAAATTTTTTCCTTGCATGTCTCTGATAGATTTATCATTACACAAGATCATCAATATGCAGAGAGAGAGAGAGAGAGAGAGAGAGAGAGAGAGAGAGAGAGAGTATGTGTAGAGAAAGTGAGGAAGAGAGAGAGAGAGAGAGAGAGAGAGAGAGAGAGTGAAAGAGAGAGAGAGACAAATAGAGACAGATATACACACAGAGAGGCACCCAATGATAGAGAGAGAAAACAAAAAAGAAAAGTGAGAGACTGATAGACAAACAGAGTGACAGAGAGGCAGAAAGAAGGGAGAAAGAACAAGAGAAAATGAGAGGGAAAGAGAAAGAGAGAAACTAAATGAAAAGGAGAGAGAGGGGAGGGGGGGGGAGAGAGAGAAAAAGAAAAGAATGAGGAAGGGGAGAGAGTGAGAGAGAGAGAGAGAGAGAGAGATGGCGACACACATACACACAGAAATACATTCAGAGAGACAGAGAAAACGAGAGAGATCAACGAGAGACAGATAGATAAACAGACAGACAGAGAGACATAAATAGTGGAGAAAAAACGAGAGAAAAGCAGAGAGGGAAAAGAGTTATAGAGAGAGAAGAATAAAAGGAGAGAGAGAGAGAGAGAGAGAGAGAGAAAGAAAGAAAAAAGAAAGAAAGAAAGAAAGACCGAGAGAGAAAAGGAGATATGTAGATATATATATTATGTTATATATATATATATATATATATATATATATATATATATATATATATAGAGAGAGAGAGAGAGAGAGAGAGAGAGAGAGAGAGAGAGAGAGAGAGAGAGAGAGAGAGAAAGAAAGAAAAGAGAAAGAAAGAAAGAAAGACCGAGAGAGAGAAGGAGATATGTAGATATATATATTATGATATATATATATATATATATATATATATATATATAGAGAGAGAGAGAGAGAGAGAGAGAGAGAGAGAGAGAGAGAGAGAGAGAGAGAGAGAGAGAGAGAGAGAAAGAGACAGGGGGAGAGAGAGAGAGAGAGAGAGAAAGAGAGAGAGAGAGAGAGAGAGAGAGAGAGAGAGAGAGAGAGAGAGATCTGTGTTGTGTTGTAAACAAGCCATCATGGTTACGCCCCTTTCTGTACAAAAACGTTTGCCAAGTGACGGACAATTTCCCTAACAAAATTGCTGTGCCCTAACGTCTACGAGTTGTAACCCCAATGTTCTTGAAAACGGTCCGAATAGGCACATCTGAGACGACCCATACGCCCAGATCTTGTGGTGTAAATTGTTTTTAGCCGAAACCCTGTTTTGTGACTACATATTGATTGAAAAAGAGAATACAGGGTTGCTTATTATATTCATGGTTTGGAATTCTCCATCACTCTTCTTTCACACGAGTAGTTATTACACTGTAGGAGGAAAGTCACTGTCCTCATCTATGTTATTATTATACTCCTTCTTGAATGAAATGCTGTTCTTTCGCGAGCTAAAAGGGTACGTCAATTTCCCCAAAGCTCACAACACAAGCACGCACATTTCTACTTAATCAGACACGGTCTTTACGTTACACTCTCTTGCCCCGACTCCAGGGCATGATTTTTACAGCATATAAATGACGTAAACAGGATATAATGGAACATGAAATATGACCCATCAGTGCAATGAGTTCATAAATTAAGAACAGAAATTATTAATATACATTTTGCAACCCTCCCCCCTTTCTCCCAAGTTCTCAAGTCAAATTAAAGGCACATTATTATTTGGAAGGCGGATTCTATGCACAACTTTAACACAATGGTGTACGTTATCACATGCATAATACTATGCCTCAGTGTGTCCATGACTATTGTACTGTGCAACAACAAGACGCATCAAACTGTAAGGAAGAACGGTAACAGGTCTAGTTGAGGTCTCCTTTTTAAAAATAAACTAAACTTCGTGCAAGAAGTTAAAGTTACATCCATGTTGGCCTCAAAGGATTGGGACCCAGTATGCGGGTAGTAGGTCAAGTGATGTCTGAATGAAGACCACAGCTACACTTTTACCGAAGTAAAGAGAGTTCCGTTCTTAACATTGAGATAATAGAGGCGCGGGGGGGGGGGGGGGCTGGTGGGACAGCGAGGGAGAAATGATAAATAAGGAGAAAAATATGAATAAAGGAAGAAATATGAATAGGGGAAGAAATATGAATATAGAGGAAGAAATACGAAAATGAGGGAAGACTTATTGATAAAGGGAATAAATAGGAATAAGGGAAGAAATATGGACAGGGGAAGAACTATGGAATAAGTGAAGAAACATGAATAAGGGGAGACATAATCAATAAGGCATGAAATATTGAATAAGGAGAAAATATGAATAGGGGAAGAAATATGAACAAAGGAAGAAGTATTGAATAAGGGAAGAAACCCGAATTAGGGGCGAAATAATGAATAAAGAGAGAAATATGAATAGAGGTAAGAACTAATGAATAAGGGAAGAAACCCGAATTAGGGGCGAAATAATGAATAAGGAGAAAAATATGAACAGAGGTAAGAACTAATGAATAAGGGAAGAAATATTGAATAAGGAGAGAAATGTGTATTAGGGAAGAAATAATGAATAATGGAAAAATACTGAATAAGGGAGAAATACGAGTGAGGGAAAAAATAAGAATAAGGGATGAAATATGAACAAGGAGAAAAATATGGAATAAGTGAAGAAACACGAATAAGGGGAGAAATAATGAATAAGCCATGAAATATTGAATAAGGACAGAAATATGAATAACAGAAAAAACTAATGAATAAGTGAAGACATAATGAATAAGGATAGAAATATGAACAAGGGAAGAAATATATTGAATAAGGGAAGAAATATGAATAAGGGAAGAAATATGGAATAAGTGAAGAAACACGAATAAGGGGAGAAATAATGAATATGGCATGAAATATTGAATAAGGAGAGAAATATGAATAAAAGAAAAAAATAATAAGTAAGGGAAGACATAATGAATAAGGATAGAAATATGAACAATGGAAGAAATAATGAATAAGAGAAGAAATCATATGAATAAGGGAAGAAATACGAATAAAGTAAGAAATTTGAATAGGGGAAGAAATATGAACAAATGAAGAAATGTTGGATAAAGGAAGAAACATGAATAAGGGAAGAAATAATGAATAAGGAGTGAAATACGAATAGAGGTAAGAACTAATGAATAAGGGAAGAAATAATGAATAAGGGAAAAATACTGAATAAGGGAAGACATATGAATAAGGGAAGAAATATGAATAAGGGAAGAAATATTGAATAAGGAGAGAAATATGAATGAGGGAAGAGATGATTATTGTATAATACTTTGGAGTGCGTGGGTGAAGTTTTTATAATAGAAATACAGATGTATACAAGACAGAAACACAGAGAATAATATATAATTATCTTCCTCAACACCAACACAGAAAATATAATGATCTTTCTCTGTTATTAATTAGTGAACTGAGTCCTACAGACGAGTCAAGAGAAAATGGGCTGACGTCTCACTGCATCATCATCATTTTTGTATTTAAAAATAAGTACACTGGAAGATTGGATTTGGTGTTGCAAGCGAAAATACTCAAATTTATAGTAGTTTCTCTTTCGTTTGTAGTTATAGTTTAACCAGATTCATCTTCCATTTTCATTTATCTTCACTTACATTGTATTTATTTGTAGTTGCTTTTATTGGAGTGTGATCAATGAATAATACGTAGTAGTAGTAGTAGTAGTAGTAGTAGTAGTAGTAGTAGTAGTAGTAGTAGTCGACGTCGTTGTTGTTATTGTTGTTTTAGGAGGAGGAGGATTAGGAGGAGGAGGAGGAGGTGGAGGAGGAGGAGAAGGAGGAGGAGGAAGATAAAGAAGAATGTAGAGAAAAAGTGCTCCTGTTACTTGTTTGGTGAGGGGTAGAGAAAGAAATGGAATATTTTAAAGGGGCTATGTAGAAGCTATGGACACGAAAAAAGAGTAGCTGATGGTTTCATTGCTGTTTGTATTGCCGTTACCTATTCCCTAACAGCGTAATAGTAGAAGGTGTAGACTCTAATATCAGCGCAGCAGCAGTTTGAGTTACTGATGCTGTTGTTGCTGTTGTTCTTGTCTCTGTTCCTAATGTCGTCTTTGTCAGTATTCCTGCCTGCTGTCATAGTCGCCTTCGCCATTGTCACCATCCTTGTTATCTTTGTTCTACCACTATTCCGTGCTAGTCACGGAGGCTAACCGACATTGATGCCAGCATCTTTGTTCTTTCAGTTTCGTTTCACTTCCATCCAGGTGGTAGCCAGAACGAGATCAATGCGCAAGCGGATGAACTACTTCCTGGTGAGCCTCAGCGTTGCAGACCTGCTCGTCTTAGTAGTGTGCCTGCCCATAGCTCTGTTGGAGTTCTACGGCAAGGATAAGTGGCTCATAGGAGAACCCATGTGTGAGTACAGATTATTATTCATTAATTCTTCTTTGTAATGTAATCTAATTAGGGCTCAAGCTGTTTAATCTATCTATCTATCTATCTATCTATCTATCTATCTATCTATCTATCTATCTATCTATACGTCTATCTATCTATACGTCTATCTATCTATCTCTGTCTATCTATTTCTCAAACTATCTATCTATCTGTTGGTTGGTGTATTTCAGACTGTGTCTTAAGTGTTTGTATGTAATACCCCATCATTATTGTTTTGTGTGAATATATCGCTCTAAGACACAGATTGCCTTGAAGATGCCAAAAAAATCATCTCCTTGATTACCTGAGTTTGTTAATATTATTATGAAATTCAGTGTACGAACAGACTTTGTCTAGTTGACAGTAGATTCACTTTAGGAAAAGGATAAACAACGAATTTTTGGAATAGACTTTCAGTGGTGTAACGATAGCATTGTGTTGCATGGTCATTAACTGCTTGGATTAGACTCGTCTTTGGGAGAGCATAATTGGTTGCTTTAAGCACAAGGGGGCTATCCCGAAAAATGCTGTTTCGAGAAAATCGAAGGTAAAATTTTGGACCCTTGTTCAGTATCTTTAAAAGACAAAGAGCGTTTTCTCTATAACCAAAGAAATATACTCAGCAATGAAACCAAACTTCTCTACCCACAATTGATGTCGGTCACGATTTCTCGAAATCCCCGATATCTGGGTTAGCCCGCTTGTCCAAGTGACCAATTGTCATTTTTTCACCTTGCTTAAGGAAAAGCGTGTTCTGACAAACCAGCGTAAAACGTTTTTTTTAAAGATTATACAACACATGCGATTGTCTGTGTTGTATAATAAGGATTAAACAGTATAATATGGCAAGTATGCCAGCCAATCCATTTGTACATTTCTACGCGAAAAGTTATTTCCTCTGACGGACAATTGTGAGGCAGCGTGGTGGAATCAGGCTGTCGTCAATTTTTGGGCATGAAGAGTTATTGGTATCATCCTAAATTTTGTTCACTTGTCTTTATTTGGATGAAAAAAATATCCTTTTATCTTGAATACAAGTCGAGATATTTGCGAAAGAAGGAGGTGGGGTCCCTTATTTTCAGAAGTAAAATTAGTGAGCAAATGGCCGCCAAAGATTAGTTATTTCCTAAGCTTAAGAGTTCGTGGTAACTGAAAATTTACAATATTTTGTGCCTTTAATCAACGTTTTTCAGAAACATCCACACAGAAATGAGTTCTTTAATGGGAATGAACGGTTTTGAGCCAGAAAACAAACATTTGATAAGAATTCACAAATCTGCGGGAAAATGCAAGTTTCTTCATTATGATTATTTTCACGAGAGCCTGATTCCACCACGCTGCCTTACAATTAAACTCTTGTCTGGATTGTGACATACAGCACGAGAAATTTAACTTAAGAATGAAAAGTCAACAGCCATAAACCAGAACGGAGCTGTTCACCCGGTATATACAGTAACAAAACCACTTACTAACTTAAGAGACAATAAGATTATGTTTTTTTGCAAGTTTGAAAAATTACGATGAAAACATAATAGGTAAAATGGAATCACCTCGTAATATAATTTACGAAAAAAGTTAAAGGGTTTTAGCGAATGTTTTAAAAATGTATCGACACAAAGCTTGATAAACAGAAAGAAGAAGACAAATGTTTAATGTTGGCTGATCTCACGGATTGTTTTATAAGGTTTAAGTCGTTTGTCAGTAAAGGGTGTTTATACTAAAGCAATGTGAAAGTCTTTGTTACATCTTTACTGTTCCTACTTGCACTTTATGTCGTGTATAATTTGCCAGAACTCTCCAGACACAGTCGCATATCATAAACGGCAACATCAACTAAAAATGTTTCTTCCAACAGAGGCGCAATAGGGTCTTGTTCATGACAAAATCAATTGAAAGGGAAAGGAGGTTTATAAGACACTCGTTTGAAACCAACAATGTTTCATTCACCACAAGCTTTGCACTCATGCATGGAACACTTGATTCCGTTGCTATTGATAAAGGTGACATTGCCAAGATCTCTATGCTATAAAATTATAGGCTGGAAAAAGTGTTTCATGTGTAATTCTAAAAAGCAAGTTTCACTTTCAGTCCTTCCAGATGACAAGAATGTTCACTGCGGAATTGTTTTTAGCAACAAGTAGTCTTTGTTGTGACTATATTTAGAATGTTGTCCCTAATATTGGGCCAAATACCTAACAAAATGGTGAGCTGTTTTTCGCACTCATAGCTTCCGATCGCGTTTGGAAGGAAAGGTGTGGGCACCATCTGACTTTGAAGACAAGCATGGTTTTTCAGCTCTCAGTACACCCCAGTAACTGAAATGTCTATGCCTGTGTTGAAAAAAAGATATTCTGCTTCTGTTCTGTTAGTTCTGATTTTAAATAGACATCTGAATAGATTAGATAATAGATCCTTTCTAAGTTATTTTCACGTTTCATTCCGTGACTCTTCATTCGAACATACCATTTCGACTTAATCTCATGTTTGCCATTTCTTTATCAAATATACGAAACGTTCCTGGAATAAAGAATTCGATATGTATGTATAAATGGATGAATGGCTGTATGTATGTATGTACATACAGATGGATGTACGGCTGGATGGATGGATGGATGGATGGATGGATGGATGGATGGATGGATTGATGGATGGATGGATGGATGGACTGTCATCATCTGTTTAGGATATTGGAGTTATGTTGCCGCCTGGAAGATCTTATAAACCGTTAAAGGGAGCTTTGAATGGGATGTATAATTGTGTCCAGACCGTAAAACGCGTACTAACATTCGGTCTACAATACTTTTTAAATTGCTGTACATATTCAAAGAACACTACAGAATTGGAATAGCAGTTGTCGTAATACGGTTTATTTTCATCTTTTGATGTGATCGTTTATATTCAAAATGGCTCCTTGGTTGAATATCATATTTGTTTTCTTTTGTTGTATGGTTCAGTTGTTGTAGTTTTTGTCCTGAAATCCAACTGTTTCAATATTTTACATTTGAACAAACATGGGCATATGGCGCATATTTGAGGGTTAAAAACTCCCAGAACTGCTGCCAAAAAATCCCATCTTTTTCTCTCTTAACAATCGCCTATTTCCATATAAATAATGTATGCGTCACGCACCGATGCATTATGCTGGAAAAACACACAGAAATAAAACATTTATTATTCATAATAGCAAAGAAAATTCTAATGCTTTTCTAAATGTTTGACAAAGAGCTATGGCGTTTACCAGAATCTGTCTGTCACATGATTAGTTTATCAGATAGCCTTGCATTGTGCGTGTTGCCAGTCCAATGGGTCAGAGTAATTGATCTCGTCAGCTTCTTTGTTTTCCTTGAACTAGGCAGAATAACTCTAGGGATAATTGGGAAAAGCTCCAGAGAACTTTTATACTCGATACTTTAAAAATCCAAAGAGGTAGGCCCCTAAACTTTTTGTCTGTATTCCGGTCTCTTTTTAGACTGTGCTGTCAAGCCACTCGTTATTTTCATTTTTGATGCAACTTGTTATTTTGCTCATTATTCAGTAATTTATAGGGGCTTGGGTGGTGATACAAAGAATTGGACTAATGAGCCATGTTTATTTTTCTTTTATGTGTTCGATTTCGATTAAGATGGAAGTCAATGCTTTCTTTCAAGCTTACAAAAGAGACAACCCTTTGATGATAAAAAAAACTTTCAAACTCCATCATAGAGCATAACTAACAAATAATGTTGGATCTTTTTCAGTTTAGATAGGCCGTGACGCGCACAGTCAAAGCTTGCCTTCTAAATGGTCTAAATTGTGCCGATTCTATAGTTATACTATGCTTTTTGTTTGAGTAAAGAGAAGCACATCGGCACAATAATGGTCGTTTAGTGTTTGGGCAAAGTTAGACAGAAAGACAGAAAGAAAAGAGTAGAAAGTAAAGAAGCTTGACCTACCAGTGCCGCCTTCCAATCATCCAATCATATTACGCATATATATATATATATATATATATATATATATATATATATATATATATATATATATATATATATATATATATATATATATATATATCCTAGATATTTAAAGTCCAACAGTTTAAATATCTAAGATATATGATAACATCTGATGCCAAATCTTCCGCAGAAATAAAAAGGAGAACTGCAATGGCTAAGGCTAGTTTCAATAAAATGAGCCCAATCCTGAAAAATAGAAACATATCAATGAACACCAAAATGAAAGTCCTGAAATGCTATGTTTCGTCAATCCTTCTATATGGCTGTAAATGTTGGACAATCACTAAAGACAGTGAAAATAAAATAGAGGCAACAGAAATGTGATTTCTTATGAGACTGCTAAGAGTATCGTGGAAGGAAAAGAAATCAAATGAGGTAGTGCTTGATGAAGCCCACGTGGGACGCTCAATGTTAAAAACAATCAGGAAACGACAAATGCAGTTTTTGGGACACCTGAATAGACATAAGGGTCTTGAACATCTAGCTCTCACTGGCAAAATCGAGGGCAAGCGAGGCAGGGGTAGGCCCAGAACAACATACTTAGGGAACCTAAACAAATGGGTAACATGGAAAAATCTGAGAGCATCCGAGCAAAGGAATGAATGGAAAATCATGATCGCCGATGTCTGTCGCAGATCTGGCACTGGATGATGATTATATATATAATATGTATATGTATATTGTTAATATATTTTTTATTTACATCTCTACAAACATATAATATGGGGGGGGGGGGGCCTCTCGTGGTCTAGAGGATATGGTGTTCGCCTTTCATTTAATAGGTCCCGGGTCCAAAACCTGACAGCGACGGAATCCTTTCTTCTCTAAAATTATCTCCGTTTACCTCATCTCCTGCTCTCTAACCATGTTCTGTCGTCTGCTTTTGCCTCAACTTTCTGAATCCAGCCCCATTTCCCCTTTTCCGAGCTCATGATTTTTTCTGCAGTCTTCTACTGCTACTCCTTGGCTCCTTTTTTCCTGCTG